GGTCTCTTGATAGTCCTAAGGGGTCTATGTACCAAGTTTCATTGCAATGTGATAATTAGTACTTGAGATATCTGTGGAAAAGCTGAAAATTAACTAATTATGCAAATTAGGTAATTAATATGCACAAATATTTATCCCAAAACAATCAATCTCTGCATAGTCCTTGAGTATCTATGTACCAAGTTTCATTGAAATGTTATCGTGGATGCTTATCCACGTGTGTGTTTCTCGATTCAATTATATTTGTTGTTGTTTAATTATAGTTATTATTTTTCATTCATATTTACTTTGTATCGATAGACAACCATTTTCTGTATTTGTTCGTTTTCGTTTCATTCGATTCCAAGCATTATTCTCTGAGTTATGTCTGTTAGAAGCAGTTTCATGCTTCATTTCATCTCACAATACATGTATTCCTATGACAAAGAAGCACAAATCAATTTATTGTAAGCCATTTACGTAATGTTCACAAACATGCCTTTATCACAGCGAACGCAAGAGAAGTCGCAACTTTGTAGCGGATTAAGCCGAAATGTTTATTCTATAGTGACCTTCTCACATGACACACCAATCATAGCGTTTTTCCTCCAATTTTAAAATCCGCGGTGTAATCCTATTAACCCTATATAAAGGGTGTTTTAGTGCATGTTTAGTGTGGATTGTTCTAATTGTACAATGATGCCAGACTTGTCTTCCGAAATAAACGACGTATTACAGTCTACCATAGTCTCTTGTGTTATCATTACACAATCACAGTGCTCACAGTTTTTTTTGGACCTGATCGAATGTGTGCGATAGACAGCCACAAATGTAATGCTTACTACTTGAAACATCAAAAGCTGAAAGTTAATTAATTATGCAAATTAGGTAATTAATATGCACAAATATTTATCCCAAAACAATCAATCTCTGCATAGTCCTTGAGTATCTATGTACCAAGTTTCATTGAAATGTAATGCTTACTACTTGAAACATCAAAAGCTGAAAATTAATTAATTATGCAAATTAGGTAATTAATATGCACAAATATTTATCCCAAAACAATCAATCTCTGCATAGTCCTTGAGTATTTATGTACCAAGTTTCATTGAAATGTAATGCTTACTACTTGAAACATCAAAAGCTGAAAATTAATTAATTATGCAAATTAGGTAATTAATATGCACTGACATTACCTTAAAAACTATCAGGTCTGTGCAGTGTCATATGACATCTATGTGCCAAGTTTCATTGAAATGTGATGATTAGTACTTGAGATATCAGTGGAAAAATCGAAAATTGACTAATCATTATGCAAATTAGTAATTAGGTAATTTTTACCAAAAACTAATTAAAACCAAGCATTAGT